TTAACACAAGAGTCCTGTGCTAGAGGTGTTGATTCAGTGCAACACCTTATGAGATACATTTTTTAAGTAAGTAATCATAGGTAACATTTCCTCCGGCAGGGGTGGCTGTGTTTCTGTCACTGAATGTAGTTGTGGTAAGGTTTGGACTCGGATACACATCTAGCTGTACCTTTGTTTGTTAGTGTGTGTGTGCACGTGCGCACACTTCATCTGTGTGTTCTATGTGCAAGGCGGTTCGGGTCGGGGGTTGTGGGCTGGGGGGGTGAAGGGGATAAAGGAGTCCTTTTAGCCGAGCTAGCCTACATGTTTTCTGTGCAGTCAAGCTCAATAAATCAGATTAGAGTTTTTGGAGAGCAGGATAGAGCTTACTGTGTGTGTGTGTCTGTGTGTATGTGTGGATATGATTTACAGCGGGGTAATGCTGCTGCGTTGAGAGACAGACAGCCTGCGACAGACAGACAGAAAGGGAAGAGGGTTGTGTAGCTGCAAAAGTAACAGAAAAGTTGTGGACTGATTGATCCAAGATCGACTGTACGCATTCATGTTATTCCCGATGAAATTAGAGAGGAAGGAACATAACATTATATCACACATATCATATCAAATACACACACAGACGGAGAAGTTGACTGCTAATACACACATGCTCTCTCAGCTTCATCATTATCTTCAGGTCATTTGTCACATCGTCTTCATTCGTCCACTGTTCAGCCTCCGTTCTCATTTGTATTCTGTATTCTGTATCGGCATGTGTTTTCTCCAGCTTTCTGCGGTGTTCTATTTAAAAGACAGATAGTGCTGCTCCCTCTGCATTGGTCGTTTGCTTTCACGGCTCATGCTCATTGGCTGTCAGCGGCCTCTGGTGCAGCCAGCCAGAAAGTAGCTCTGCAGCCTTTAGTGATGGGCAGATTATACACTGTGCACTATACACACATTCACATATGTTCATATATAGAAGCATATCGTGCACACGACCATGCAAAAACAATCAGAGAGGGGTACTCATTTTCTCAGCTATTTTTATATGTAGTCTCACTTCTGATATATTATATACTGAAACATATTTTTATTGTGACAGTCAACTAAAACTAAACATTTCAGTCTCATCGTGGTTTTCGAGAAACAGAAACATTTGAGTTACGGCCATTTACAGATATTTGTAAAATGTTTGGAACAACTACAGTAACTACTGCTTAACAGACTTTATTTAGGTCCAGATAATGAGTGTGACAATATTACACTTTCACTGTTTCTCTCATTATATTTGAAGTGGGTCCAAATGAAAACATGTTGTGTTACCATCATCATCTCCTCCTCCCCTCGCTGTATGTTACTTGACCTTACTTGCCGCAGTGTTCAAATGCATAGCTGGGTCCAGTCTGACACTGTGTAGAAAAAAGGGCCGTTGATCACACATAGAGAGCACTTTATTAGGAACACCATTCTAATACAGGGTAGCCATCAAACAGCCGTAGTGACATGGACCATTATCCTGCTGGAAGTAGGCATTACATGATAAACTGTGGCAATAAAAAGATGAACATGGTCGGCAACAATACTTAGATGTGACATTCAGACCATGATTTATTGGTGTTAAGGGCCCAAGGTTTGACAAGAAAACCTTCCCCACACCATCACACCCCCAGCAGCCTAGACTGTTGACACAAGGTAGATTGGCTCTATGGATTCAGGGGGTTGAGAAATCCAGATTCATCAGACCAGTTTATGATTCTTCAAAAAGGTGTTTCCTTTCACATAGCTCCTGCTCACTGGATGTTTTTTATTCATCACCATTCTGACTAAAATAAATCTTTTGTGTTCAGACAGATCAATGTGCCATATCTAAAAAAAACACAGACTGTGCATAGCTGCATGTGAACGTTCACAACTGAAAAAGGCGGTCCGCTGCTTCTCTTTTCATAACGTGTGTAAGTGTAAGGCTGGACATTCACTGACTCTGAGGTGGGAATCAAACCCATTATGCACCAGTGCTCATTCACAAAAAAGGCTGAATAGAAACTAGGTACATATTTCTCTGTTTTGTGTTTTTCATTGTTTGAGGTATAATTCGCCACAGGAGAATAATGACAGGAATGCATTTAGATTTAGAACAACATTCCACAAGATTTCATTTATGGGAAGATGTGTTTCTTTAATGTGCTTGCTTGATGTCTAAGGATGCTGCTGCCATGCTGTGGTTTGGGTGAGATGTGACAAACTCGGGTAGCATCTTCAGGTGCACCACTGCAAATTTGAAACCTCTGAAAACTGTATTTTTTCCAGCACCGAGCTCCTGAATCATTCAGCCACATACTCACACACACCATCTGCACAGTGTGCAGCAGGGTAGTACTGGATGGCCTCACTCTGAGGTCAGCCTCATTCTTTTGTCGAGGTCAGTGTCTTTAATAGGTGCTATCAGCAGGCCTTCAGAAGAATGACACAGCCTGTAGTGATGTAGTGATGGTGAGAGCTGATACTGATAAAATCCGATGCTGCACTGTGTTGTAAGTGTGGCATCTGCTCCCCTTTGTTCTCTCCCTTTGTCTCTTATTCTGCTCACTGTGGCTGATAGGAGCCTACAGATTCAGAGCTGTGTGTGTGTGTGTGTGTGTCCATGGCCACCACTCACTGCTGCCTCCCGTTACTGTGGCAACAGACTCAGCAGACACTTTTCCCTTTCCTTGCATGTGAATGTTTTTCTCGACGGAACACTCCGTGCACTCAGTGCACTGTGCGCATTTCTTTGTGTAGACACAATCCAGTATCATCCCTGCTCTGCACGTGTTGCGGGTCACTTGCTGATGGTAATCAGTGTGTGCACAGACACTGACAGTGGGTTAGAACGTGTCTTTCCCATCTTTACTTCTTATCACAGCCCTTATCATGCTATTTGACTGTACATGTTCATAATCTATATGCACAGGAATGAATGATGTACAGATGCCAAAACTACTTCCTCTGCATATGTGTGATCAAGTGGGTTTTCTTTCCTATGTGTAGGCATGTGCATTAAGTCCTACATCACTGTTGGAGACTTTGAATAGACTTTACTAGCCAAACTCTAGCTACCTACCTACCTACCTACCTACCTACCAAACCATTACCATAACCTTTACCGTAACCTTGATCTAACCCGAAACCTAACCACTAACCATAAAATCAGCTTCTCCCAAATGCAGACACAGTCCCCAATTGACTGGTATTTAGAATGAAATTTGTCCTCGGATAGCCTATAATGGGAACAGACACACACTCACAAATGCACACACTTTCGTTGACATAAACATACAGCGAACAGGTTTAACAGGAATGTTAGCATACCTGTTGTTCCTGACAGAGAAGCAGTCAGTCAGTTAACATTACAACAAAAATAATGATGATTGGGGGGGGGGTAGATTTATCAGGTGCAGTATTGATTTGGATTGTCTTCAGCGCGTTACATGAGGTGCTCAGAACAAAACAGTCAGACATGTGATGTGTGTTCTGTGGGTTGCAGGTTGTGGATGAGTCAGAGAAACCTGAGGCTGTGAATAACTCATACAGTAGTTTCTAGCTATGGCAGAATCAGCCAGGTCTGATGTTTTCGATGAAAAATGGGCTTTGGTCTGGTTATTGGTGTTCCTGCTCTCTCATGACAGATAAAAAGTGTTTATTATGCACAATCAACATATGTTTGCTTACACAGGATGTGCACCTCTATTGTGAGTTTAATGTATCTATACTCTCATTATTACCATGGTATTAAGTTCAACAGTTTTGTTCAGCCTTTGTAACAACATATTTTTTGTAGATTAAGCACGCATGTATCATTTCTCTGCTGACCACTTGTGCACATGTATTTGTGTCTATATTTGCAT